GCTACGGCTGAGGCTCAGCCTGAGGTTGCGGCTAAGGCTAAGCCTGCGGCTCAGGATGCGACTCAGGCTAAGGTTGCGGCTCAGGTTGCGACTCAGGCTAAGGCTGCGGCTCAGGCGCTTAAGGTGCGCGGCCCATGTTAAGGCTCAGGCTAATGCTGCGGCTGGGCCCCGCGGTCCATGCTGCGGTCCGTCTGAATGGATGGCTGGGCGTCTGGGAGGCTGATGATAAGCTACCGGGAGCGCCGCGAACCCGTTTGGGAACGAGAGTGAAAAGTAGCGGCGATTGAGAGAGGGTTGCAGAAAGTGAAGTTGTTCGGTCGCCCGCCAATCATTTCCACCATTTCACACGTGACGCCTAAACCTACCCACCGCTGCTAACCTCATTCTTCAATGGGTGCCAGACCCCTGCCGACCTTAGGGTAGGCCGCCCGGCCCTCTGCGCTGCGCCAAACCACAGGAATTTGCCTACCTCCCAGGCGTTATCGACACTAAACGCACTTTTGACTTTTTTTTCCAATTTATACCGACTTAAGTCTCTTGTTTCGCCGCTTCCTCAATAACACAAAATATTGACATGCAAAATTTAGGTTTGGTAACAGTTTGTACTTTCCGAACCGACTGTATTTCAAGCCCGCCAGCATGAAATAATTTATTATATGTGATGTATACTGTAATGGCCCACATCACCCATGCTCTGTCACTCTCTCTGGGGCGAGGAGGAGTGCACTTGGGAGACCTAAACGCCGGGGCGGGACGAGAGTGCAAGTGTGCGGGACGGGAATTGCCGCGAGTGTCAGCCGCGTAACACCGGCGCCCTCGTCCAACCCACCACTACGCACATCGCACACAAACACACACACACACACAACCTCGACATGAGAGGTCGCTATAGTCTGTTCGATTGGCACTACTCGCAGTTTGGCGGGGCCTCCCCCGACCGGTGTGCGAGGCGGGGGGGACTGGCTGACCTCAAGTGCACCAGTGCAGTTTGCGCTGAACGTGCGAGGGCGTGGCGGGGCGTGGCGAGGCGTGGCGGAGCGTGGCGGGGGCGGGGTGGTGGTGGCGCTGCCTCGAGTCACAGCGCAGAGTAGTTCTCTCAGCAGCAGAACCTGCCGTGTTTTTTTCCTATTTTCCTCTATCCGTTTGCGTCTTTCCTTCCTTCCCATATTTCGCAGCTGTAAAACTGCTCGTTGCCGCTTTACGGGTTTCCCCTCCCCGAGAGACAGACCCTTCGGCTCCGGGCGGCCGAAGCGCGGCGCGGCGAGGCGGGGCGCCGCGAGGCTGGCCGGGGCAGCACACGCGCGCCGCATCGCGCACCAAGGCCGCGCTTAATAATTCCACATTACGGCGCCCTGCGCGTGATGCGTGAGCACGTGTGTGTGTGTGTGTGTGTGAGAGAGAGAGAGAGTGAGTGAGTGAGTGAGTGAGTGAGTGAGTGAGAGAGATAGATAGAGGGAGAGAGAGAGATGGACGGGGAGGGAGGAGAACTACTCCAGGCGGCTAGGAGAGGACCGCCGCTGCTGCTGCAGCTCGCTGAGGGGACTTGTAAACATAATAACAACTGGAGTGCATGCACCTTCGGTTCCCCTCACCGCACCGCCACCACCACCGTCACCATACCGCCGCCGCCAAGCGCTGCTAGCGGATTCCTTGCTGCCTCCTTCTCCCTCACCTCTTCCTCGCCTCGAGTTCCCCGCTGCTGCTGGCCGTCACGCGGTATACGGAACCCCGCCCCCTTGTGCTGCTCTTGTCCGCGCGCCAAGCCTTCGTGGGGGCGCGGCGGCGGCCGTGTCGCGACAAGGAGCGTGCGGGCAGGGGCGCCGTGGCGCCAAGCACGGCTGGGGCGAGCCCCCAACAGCAACAAGAACAACAACAGGAGCAGCAGCAGCAGCAACAACCGCAGCGCCACGCCACGCCCACCACTTCCCTCGACTGAATTATCCTTGCGCGACTGTGTAGACGCACCGCAGCCACGGAGAGCCGCGCCACGCCACGCCAGGCCACGCCATGCCGCGCGGCATTCCAGTAATATTTATCTGGAGCATTGGT